TCTCGAGATCAAAGAACACAGAAACAAGGTATTTTCTCTTGAGGAAGGCTTCCCTGATCAACGTTTCAAGTTGAATCATATGGTCCACAGCGGAGCACTGTTTGTGGAGTGTGTTCAATTTGAGGAACCAAACAAGACGAGCATTAACCATCCTCTCTAGAACCTTACAAAGACAACTAGTCAAAGTGATGGGACGATAATTAGAAGGAATCTTGGGATCCTTCCCAGGTTTAGAGAAAGGGAGGACAACAGCCAGGAGCCAAGCATCAGGAAAAACATGCTCCTGCCAGATCCGGTTAAAAATAACCAGAAAAATAGCAAGAGAGGCAGGAGAGAGATGGTGCTGCATCTCATAATGAACATCATCAGGTCTGACTGATGTACTACCAGACCAATGAAGTGCAAATGTGAGTTCCACCAGTGTAAAGGGGCGATTATAATCATGGAGACGATTGGCCCAAAAGGAAAGAGGTGATCGATCTGCTCGAGACTTGATGGTCAAGAAAGCAGGGAAGAAACAGAAGTGCTAGAAGCACGAGAAAAGCTATGGCCGAGAGCATCAGCAATTCCCTGGACATCAGCAACTTTCTGGCCATTGGAGAGCAAGATGGAAAGAGAATGGGAAGCATAACTCCCAGTGATTTTTCGAATCTTGTCCCATACAGTTTTGGAATTGGTGGTAGAAGAGATGCTAGTAGTGAACTTAATCCAAGACTCCTTTTCACTTTGACGTCAAACCTGCTGAGCATGGGCATGGGCCTACTGATAGACAATGCAATTAGAAAGAGAGGTATACTGTCAGAAGGTATCCCCAGCCCGTTTTTGAGCCTTCTGTGCCTCCTGGCAGGCAGGACTCCACCATGGACGAGTATACTGTGGAAAACGTGTCGCGGTTTTAGGAATAAAATGAGCAGCTGCCTGAATGATACACTCAGTCACTACAACCACACAGTCGTCTATTGATGGCAGACAGACAAAGACAGGATCAAGTTCAAAGAGAGAGGTGAAAGATGGCCAGTCAGCCTGGTCCAATTTCCACCATGGCACTCGGGTCGGTGGCATCGACCATAACCAACCTCCCTCATAATGATAGGGAAATGATCACTGCCCCCGTGGGTCACTGTCGAGCATCCAAGAAAAGTGAAAAGTGAAGGGAAGCAAATTGAGAGATCAATGGCAGTAAAAAACTGACTAGGTGCATGAAAATAAGTATATGTTCCAGTATTAAAGAAAGAAAGGTTGTGATCCAAGAGCATACGCTCTATGGAACGACCCCTCCCATCAATATCACCACCACCCTAGAGGTGGTTGTGTCCATTAAAGTCTTCCAAAAGTAAAAAGGGAGATGGCAATTGGTCAACGAGACCATCAAGGTCTGATTGATCATAAGTCTCCCCAGGAGACAGGTAGAGAGAACAAACAGTGATGGATGACCCAAGGAAACATGAATGGCTATGGCCTCCAATGGTGTATCGAGAGACACAGATAAGGAGAGCACATGCTGGTCAACCAGCAGTGCCACCCCACCATGCACCCATCCATTACATATGTCATTCTGGTACAAAGAAAACTGCCGAAAGGTAACTGTATTAGCAGGTTTCAGAAATGTTTCCTGTAAGAAGAGCCACACGGGACGATAGGAGTCGATCAAGGCCTTAATGTCATCGAGATTAGACCGAAAACCTCGACAGTTCCACTGTATCAAAGTGGCCATTTTTATGTAGGTGAAGGAGAACAGGGTAGAGAACCCTTCGGTTCACGACCACGCCATTTTTCTTTACTAGATGGAGGTCGATTGACCCCCATAGATCCTGTCCTTGATTGAGTGGGCAGAACTCTGTCATCAGAGTGAGAATCAAATGACTTAGGACATGATCGAATGATCATCCTGCATTTAGGGGCCAAAGAAGGACCCAAACGGTCACCAGAGGCTGGTGCCCGAGGAGGTTGACTCAGGCAGTCACTGGAAGGAATAGTGGGGACAGAGATTGGAGTAGACGTAGACTGGTCAACTCTATTATCCATGGAGGGCAGAAGACCCCTCACATGGCGTAAAAAAGCTCAGATGGAGGCATGGAAAGGTCTTTCTGCACCCCCACTGTAGCAGTGGAGCATAGTGCAGTGGCATATGTCCGAGATGGAGTAGAAACATAGCTTCCGAGCCTCAGGGT